ATGAGGGTGAGAGCTGGGCATACCTCTAGTCACCAGGAGTGCATAGAGAAAAAGAAGGAATTGCACCTTTCCGGTCCCTGTGTGAATCTACCCTGCCATGCTACCTTCTGTTACTGAAGCTGCTCACAAAAGCTCAAAATGGATGTCTCCCTCTCTCACTCAGCAAGCACTCAAAAATACTTCTCTAGCTTTTCCTCTCATATTCAGGGTTCCAGGACATCTGTCTCTTTCATTGGGCTCTTTGTATCTTTGCTGTAGAGTGTCCATGTAGTTCATCTACCTTGTCCATCATCTTGATGAAAATCCTCCCCTCATAAGCTTTTAAGACCCCAGTTGCTACCTTCCAAAGTAGGATGTATAACATTGTCTTTGTGGATTGTTGTTGTTATGTGCCATGGAGTCAGTCCCAACTCATAGCGACCCTGTATAGGGTTTCTGAGGCTGTAAATCTTTACAGGAGCAGAAAGCCTCATCTGTCTCCTGCGAAAAGCTGGTAGTTTCGAACTGTTGACTGTGAGATTAGCAGCCTGATTTGTAACCACTATGCTACCAGAGTTCCTTTGTCTTTGTGGATTACGTTATGCCATTTGACCATGATGAACCACAGTGGTTTCTTCTACCTTGAGACCAGCTTGAGATAGCTATAATGCCTAGCTATCACTACTGATCCATCAGGAACACAATACATGAATTCTGATAAAAAGGAAGAAATATGAAGACCAACAGGAGCTCTGGTAGCATGTGGTTATGAAATCGGGCTGCTAATCTCAAGGTCAGCAGTTCAAAACTACCCATGGTTCCATGGGAAAAAAACTGAGGCTTTCTACTCCTGTAAAAATTTATAGCTTCATAGTCAGAAACATACTAGAAGGCTTGTAAGTCCGTCTTCTGACTATGACTGGAATATCTAAAATGGGGCTACAGCGTACCCAGTGAACGAGGCTTCCTGCAGAGCCTCTGCAATACATAAAACTATAGGTAGAAACCGGAACCACATCCAGATCTC